AAACAAGAATTCTCATCACTTGTTTATGGGCAATATCATGATAGATGGAGAAAAGACTGAAACTGCCAGCAACTTCATCTTACTTGGATCCACACTCAATACACTTGGTACCAGCAGTCAGGAGATCAGAGGACACTGCTGTTTGGTTATTTGTCTAAAAACTCAGCCCTGTCATACCACTGTCCTCTCCAAAACTGCCTGCCAGTGGCTCCTCGCTGCTTCTCAGATATAGAGTGTGGAAAGTTGCTCTAGTGGTCCCTGAAGTAGTTCCTCTTTGGTCTTGCTCTGTCGCACTCACCTTGACAAGCCTTACCCTTCAGGCAAAGTAGAAGGCTTCACATTTCCTGGACTCACCTTGAATGTTCCTCTTTGCTTTTGTTCCTGCAAATGCCTATCAGTGGAAAAGCTTTTCCTTGCATGACTACGTGGAAACTGTGCAATCCTTCCAGGGTGAGTCATCTGCTGTCTCAGCGTGACCCCAGTCCCGAGCCCCCAACACAGATGGCACCTCTCCTCCTCAGAGGCCTGAGCTGTGGCCTCTGGCTCTATTTACCTATGTACAGTCATTCAATGGTTTCTGTGTGCTCACCCAGGGCCACCGTGGACAGGGCACTGGGACAGGGCACTAGCCATCTCCACTCATAGAAAGACTAATGGGATGGGAGGAAGGACTTGCAAACAGAGGGAATGGCTAGAAAGAACATAAATATGCAAATACTTGCATGCAGTTCAGCAGGAGGTTAAAGATGAGACTGCAAAGTTTCCCAAGACGAGGATGAGACTGTAGAATCCCTGCAGGTTTAGGGTCAGGTGTTCTGTGTAGAAGTGCACTAAGTGTTTAAGTGTGCAAGGATTCAGTGCTGAACAAAAGGAAAACTCACGATGCATAACCTTTTTAGTCTCTGTGCTCCACTATCTCCCTGCTCCTTGCTGTCGAGTTGACTCTGACTTACAGCGACCCTCCACTGGGTTCCTGGGGCTGTAAATCTCTATGGGAGGGAACTGCTGCCCATATTTTGCCACTGGAGCAGTAGTGAACTTCAACTGCTGACTCTATGTTAAATCTGTTTGGTTGGGTTTTTTTTTTAACATTTCTTTCTATTTCAACGAAGATTTATGGAGAGACGGGTTTTAACACATAATGCACTATGCCACCAGGACTCCTTACCAGTCCCCTGTTGTTGGGGAATGTTGGGGAGGAAGTCAAGGCCTCTGACCAGAAAAGATCACTTAGCTTCGGATAAGTGCGAGCCCCTCAACAGCCTTTAATACGGAGCAGAGAAAGCTCCCCTGTGTTTGGCTGTACAGGCTCGAGAAAGCTCGCCACCTGGGAAGATGGCTGTTGAGATGGGAGAGGTCTGCATGGGGCTGAGGTTCTCCAGACCAATCTGCACGTCCCCCGTCTGTAAGCCCACCCTAGCCTGTCTTTCTGTTTACTTGTTTGTATATAAGTGTGCTGCATCTCCCAGTAAAATTGAGCTGGATCGACTCTCTGAACAGCTCCCAAAATGGTGTGTCTCAGTCGTGATTACCCCCATCAGGGTGTCGTTGCCGGGCAATGGACAGCAACACCCTATGTTTCTTATATTAGATGCCATCTGGTCAAGTATGACTCACAGCAAGCCTGTAACCAACAGATCTGAACCTTGCATAGCCTGCACCATCCTCTTAATCTCTGCCACATTCAAGTCCATTGTCACAGTCACTGGGTCAATCCACCTTGTCGAGGGGCTTCTTCCCTTTTGCTTAACCTATACCTTTACCAGCATGATAACATTTTCCAAGGACTGGTGCCTCCTGACAACATGCCCAAAGTTCGTGAAACAAAGTTCCACCATCCTTCCCTCCAAGGAACACCCTGACTGCGCCAACCCCACGCCCCCAAATTCCTTGCTGTATCTGAGTATTCCAAGGAGAGCAGGTCAGGCTAATTACTAACAAAGACACTCTTTTTATGGAAAAACTAGGCCAGTTATCTTGGTGGAAGGTATTTACAGATATGTTCTCCCTCTGGGAAACTCCCACATGCAAACACCTTTCTAATTGAATGCTTAATTTACCCAAAGAAGCTTGTGGAGAAAGGAAAGGGGTAGAATCAGAAAGGGAAAAAAAAAGAGAATAATTTAAAATAAAATATGGGCGCTCTGCGAACTGAGGCATGATAAAACGCCACATAAGCTACAAGGCATATCCATGGTAAAACAGTTTTTTAAAAAAATCTCTTTCTGGTTATATAGTGGGGCCACGGACAGTGCGTGCTCACAATGTTATCAATAAGCAAGGATTATAAGGCTTTGTCTGACTTTGGACATGTTGCAAGGAGGGACGAGTCCTTAGAGAGGGACATCATGCTTAGGAGGGTGGAGGGACATCTCAAGAGAGAAAGACCCTTGATGAAATGGATTGATTCAGTGACTGGGGAAATGGGCGTAGGTGTGTAAGAGACAATAAGGTTGTCTCAGGATAGAGCAGGGTGTAGGGCTGTTATACACAGGGTCACTATGAGTTGCAAGCGACTCTATGACATATCACAATGAACAACAACAATTTCTTGTTGAAACGGGGAATGTTTTGTTTTACAAATATTTGTTGTTGTTGTGTACCACTGAATCAGAACCGACCCACAGCTGGCCGTCTGGTGAGTTTTCACACAGGAGAAGACTGCCCACCCTTCGCCTGCAGAGCAGCTGGTGGCCTTGAACCACGTGCCTTCAGGAATGCAGGGCAGCTTCTCACCACTACTTCACCAGAACTCCCATTACACATATTTACTACAATTAAAAAAGAACCCAAGTCCCAGCAAGCAGAGATGGCACAATCATGGCTATTCACGAGAGAGCAACAATCAAAAATTAAAACGAGATGATGTTAAATACTAAACATTCCTATATGGCATTGTTTCCATTGAGATCATTTCCCCGCGTCATTTCTAATTTCAGATTTGTGCCCATCTCAAAGCTGAATGCGGGTGACCTGCATACCAGTGGCCAAAGGAGAAAAGGCGATCTCTCGGACTTACAGTTTAATTTTTAATTAAGGCTAATCTCCGAGCGTGATAGATGCTGGCTCTGGTCTAATGTTTGGGAGGCAGTGGACCGATGGGATATGTGCTGATTTGCATGTCCTTCTCCGTTATTACTGAAATACCCAGATCATTCAGGCAATCAAACGGCCAAGAAAATGTGGCCCAAGAGAAAACGAAGATGGAATGTTGTTACTAACAGGACTTTTTAAAAAAAAAAAAAGAGTAGTGTTTGGAGAGGTGCCCCTTACTGGGAATCAGCGACAGATAACAGGCAGGGGCATTTGTAAGTCCTTCTGTACTGAGTCTCCTCCACATAATATGTTGTTGTTGTTGTTGTTATGTGTCATCGATTCACCTGCGACTGATAGCGACCCTATGTACAACATCCCTAAACCCTGCTCTGTCCTGTGCCAATCTCACTGTCTCTGACACACCCACCCTGATTACCCCAGTCACTGAATCAATCAACCTCATGGAGTGTCTTCCCTTCCTGCACTGTCTCTCCACCCTCCCAAGCATGATGCCCCTCTCCGAGGACCGGTCCCTCTTTCCAACCTGTCCAAAGTATGCCTTGCCTCAGAATTCTTGCCTCCAAGGAGCAGCCTGGTTTAACCCTCTCCAGGATGAACCTGTTCGTTTTCTTAGCAGTCCATGGTACCCGCAATACTCTTCTCCAGCACCATAGCTCAAAGGCATCAATTGATGCCTTCTATCCTTCTTCTATCCTCCCTAGTCATTATCCAGCTCTCTGATGCACAGCAAATGATTGCAAAGACCATGGCCTGTATCGGGTGTACCTTAGTCTCCAACGTGACACCACTGCTCTTCAGTACTTTGGAGAGGTCCTAAGATAATCTAAAGTCACTGCCATCATATCATGTCTGACTCAGGGACCATCAGATTTTCAAGGTGGAAGAATGCTCATTTTTCTTCCATGGAGTGGATCCAAACTGCTGACCTTTGGGTTAGCAGCACAATACACTATGAACTATGCCACCACCGCTCCATTGTGCCAAATAAGAAAAATCAACAGCTCTTTGTCATCAAATGGGAACCAATTTACAGCTGACCCTCCAGTGGGTTTTCAGAGTCAGTACATTGCATGTGAGAAGACTCTATCTTTCTCCCTAGGAAAAGTTGGTGGATTTGAACTGGACACCTTTCAACTGGCAGGGTAATTCCTTATCCACTTTGTCACCAGAGCTACTCACTACTCAATGTGCTGTAGTATTATTAGATGCTATCAGACTCAGCAACCCTATGAACAACAGATCTGAACCTTGTCCTGTCTTGGGCCAACCTCATAATCTCTGACACACTCAAGCCCATTGCTGAAGTTGCTGTTGCAATCCATCTGGTTGAGGGTCTTCCTCTCTTTCACTGTCCCCTTACTAAAACAGAATTTAGTAATTACAGCAGAAAAGTTTGAAAGGAGGGAGTCCATTTGGGTACAACACTGGTGGATTATCTTCTAAGTAAAACCCAGCAATGTCATGCTTGTGGACACAGAAAATTCAGTAAAACATCTTCAGAGGGATGTAACCAAATCATTAAACACATTGGCCTTTGTTCTTCCCATGGAAAAAAAAAGTACAAACACAGAATTGCAAGTGGCCTGGCAGACGGTCTCAGCTAAAATCTCCTTTGCTGTCTCCAGACACCAGAGCCAGCAGGGACAACTTACAAAAAGGAGAGAAGTCATCGTATTTGTGTGTGTGTCTCTCAACTTGATGAATGTGGATGCTCCCTCCAGAGAACTAATTCTTGTGTACAATTAAACATGGAAATGCTGTGTTTTCCAATCAACAGCAAATCAGTTCCTGATACTCTGAATAACATTACTAGGAAGACATGATTTCCCTGCAAATTGGTTTTTTTTTTGCTTGCATTTTAAGGACCACTTTCCTGAGTCTATAATGACAGATGGGAAGCTAGGGGCTGAGAAAGTTGGCTGTGATGTGGGTCCCGAGCTTACCACGAGCCTTCCAGGTAGGCATTGAGGCCTTTGCGGATGACATGGCCCAAGTAGCCATTCTTCTCAGCTACATGCTTCGCCCACCTGAAAAGAATTGGAGAAAGGAAATGTCCAAACTGTGGAAAATTAAATCACTGCCTTTTTCTATATATGATCTCAATAAATCCCACTTGGGGAATATTTTGCTTGTTAGAATTTTTATAGAGCAACAAACTAGAACAGAATGCTAAGAAGGTAAAACAAGAGACACTTTGAGAGCTTTGTATTCAGCGCCCCCTTTTTTTTGAATGTGCAGGAGTTGTTATTTATGGAAACAAAGAATATGTAAGGTATATATTGACAAATGCTCCCCAGAATAGAAAAATACACTCTTTCCATGAATCCTAATATTCTTTACATGAAAGCATGCCTACTGATGAATTATAAAGTCCCATCTATTTTGCCCCTGTCCTCCAATTTATCTGAGTTGAGTTACTAATAATGAACTCTCATTTTCTCATTGTCATCAAGTTAGAACCAACCCATAGCTGACCCTCTGGCAGGCTTTCAATAGCACAGGAGGAGACTGCCTGTCTCTCGCTTTAGGAGTAGCTAGTGAATTTGAACCACCTACCTGCCTTTGTGTTAACAGCACAACTTTTTAACAACGAGGTCAACTGAGACTCATTGGACAAGCTCAATGTCAGCTGTGAAAATCAGGCCAGGTGCTGACTATGAAACAGACCACCAACCAGTCATATACAAGTACAAGCTGAAGTTGAGAAAAATGAAATCAAATCCACGAGAACCAAAATTTGACCTTGAGTCTATCCCACCTGAATTTCAAAACCATCTCAGGAAAAGATTTGATGTCTTGAACAAAAATGAGTGAAGACCAAATGAGCTGAGAGAGGATATCAAGAATATCATCCAGGAAGAATGCAAAAGGTCATTACAAAGACAGAGGAGGAAGAAAAGACCAAGATGGATGTCAGAAGAGACTCTGAGTATTACACTAAGTACAAAGAAGCCAAAGCAAAGGGAAGAAATCAAGAGATTAAGGAGTTGAACAGGAAACTTCAAAGGGCAGTGCAGGAAGACAAAGTCAAGTATTAAAATGCAATGTGCAGAAAGTCAGAGTCAGAAAATCAAAGGGGCTGAATTCACTCAACATTTCTTAAGCTCAAGGAACTGAAAAACAAATTCAGTCCTTGAGTTATAGTACTTAAGGATGCTTTGGGTAGAATACTAAACAATCCAGGAAGCATTAAAAGAAGATGGAAAGAGTATACAGAGTCATCGTACCAAAAGAATTGGCGGACACAGAAGAAATTGATCAACAATGTATAAGAAAGAGCCTGTGGTGATGAAGGAAGAAGTTCAAGCTGCTCTGAAAGAATTGGCAAAAAACAAGGCCCCAGGAATTGATGACATACCAATTGACATATTTCAGCAAACAGACACTGCCCTGGACGTGCTCACCAAGTTGTGCCAAGAAATCTGGAGAACAATCACCTGGCCACCTGACTGGAGGAGATCTATATTTGTTCCCATTCCAAAGAAAGGTGACCCAACAGAGTGGGGAAATTATCAAATATCACTGATATCACATGTAAGCAAGATTCTCCTGAAGATTATACGGGAGCAGCACACCAACAGAGAACTGCCAGAAATGCAGGCTGGGTTGAGAAGAGGCTGTGGTACTAGGGTTATTATAGTTATATTAGATGGATCTTGGCTGAAAGCAGAGATTACCAGAGGAATGTCTATCTGTGTTTCATCACCTATGTAAAGGCATTTGACTGTGTGGATCACAAAAAACTGGCTGATTCTGAGAAGAGTGGGAATCTCAGAACACATGATTGGGCTCACGTGAAACCTATACTTGGACCAGAAGGCAGTCATCAGAACAGAGCAAGGAAACACTGCATGGCTCAAAAGTGGGAAGGGTGTATGCCATGGATGTGTCCCATCTCCATACCTTTTTAGTCTATATGCTGAGCAGATTGTCTGGGAGGCTGGGCTCTATGAGGAAAAATGTGACATCAGGAATGGAGGAAGATTCAGCCATAATTTGCATTATGCAGATGTCACAACCCTGTTTGCTGAAACTGATGAGGACCTGAAGCGCTTGCAGCCTTGAATATGGATTGAAACTCAATATTAAGAAAACAAAGTTTCTCACCACTGGGCCATTTGGCAGCATCATGATGTATGGTGACGAGACTGAGATTGTTTAACAGCTTTAGTTTGCTTGGCTCTACAATCAACACTCTTGGTACCAGCAGCCAGGAAATTAAAAGATGAATTACACTGGGAAAGTCTGCTGTCAGAAACCTCTCCAAAGGACTGAAGAGCAATGATATCAGTCTGGAGACTAAGGTGCACCTGACCCAGGGCATAGTCTTTGCAATCACTTGCCATGCACCAGAAAGGTGGACAATGACTAGGGATGACAGAAGAAGCACTGATGCCTGAGCTGCAGTGCAGGAGAATAGTACTCAATATACCGTGGACTGCTAAGAGAATAAACAACTTTGTCCTGGAGAGAGTGAGACCAGGCTGCTCCTAGGAGGCAAGGATTCCAAGGCTTCGTCTGACATACTTTGGACATGCTGCAAGGAGGGACCAGTCTCTGGAGAGGTACGTCATGCTTGGGAGGGTGGAGGGTCAGCGCAGGAGAGGAAGACCCTCATGAGATGGATTGATTCAGGGACTGGGGTAATGGGGATAGGTGTGTCAGAAACAATAAGATTGGCACAGGATAGAGGAGGGTTTAGGATTGTTGTACACAGGGTCATCATGAAGGCGCTTAACAACAACAACAACAACAAGCCAAATGAGCTTTCTAACAATGAACTAGTCTGTTCTTATCTTTAGATTGACTGATAATCTCTAAAAAATAAAGTAACAATGAGCTAATAAGAGGGAAATGCAGGAAGATTTAAAAAAATATTTGCTTAAACTGTGGCAATTCGACAATTAAAACAGACATGGGGAGGGGAAGAACGAGCTGAGGAGGAGGGTGGAGAAAACAGTGTAACAATGAATGAATGAAAACCCAAAATCTCTGTAAATGTTCATTAAAACTAATAAAATTTAATAAAAAAAATACCTGCTTAATTCAAAAGAAGAGTAAGAAGGAGGAAAAAGGAACAGATAGGACTAATGGAAAAACAAATACCAAAATGGTATATTTAAAAGAAAAGATACCAGTATATTAATCATAAATGAACTAAGTATCTCTGTTGTTGTTGTTATTGCATACTGTCCAGTCAAAACCAACTCACAGCTGACCTGACGGTGGGTTTTCAGAAGCTATAAACTGCATCAGAGGAGACTGTTCATCTTTCTCCAGAAAATATCTCAATTAAAAGACAGAAATTGTCTCTTCTAGGGAGATTTAACACACTTCACAATTTGAAGAATTAAAGTAGTCAGAGTACGTTCTCTCATTATCGTGGAATTAAGTAAGAAATTCATAACAGGGAACAGTAAGAAAATTCATGAAAAATATTAATGTTCACATCAAATATTCAATGACTAAAAAAATCCTTCAAGTCAAGTGCTGTCCCTGAGCTCAGTGCAGGTTTGATTTGCTACCAAAATGTCTTCATGGAAACAACTTTTTGGAAAGGCAGATTCTAGAGGCATAAAGGTGATTAAAGCAGATATTTTTGAAACCTTTTTCTAGAAAGAGTAAGATAGTAAATATTTTTTAATCTTTTTTTTATAGTAAATATTCGAAGCTTTGCAGGCCACAAGTGGCCCCCTCTGTTGCTTATTATTTTTGTTTACTTTCTTGTGTGTTCTACAGCTTTACAAAAAATAGAAAGTCTGTGGTGGCTGTAAATGGCTACTGCGTTTATTTGCTAACCACAAAGGTAGTGGTTCAAGCATGCACAAAGGGACCTTGGAGGAAAAGGTCAGGTGACCTATTTCTGAAAAAAGCCAGTGATAACCCTGTGGGACATGGTGTGAGTCTCACAGACGTGGGACTGCTATGAACTGGGATTGAATCAACAGCAACTGGTTTGGGTTTGATAAAAACCATTCTTTGCTCCTGCACCACACAAAAAAGGTACTAGGTCATAGATTCACATATTCAGACACAATCAGAAAGTCAGGGTCTCAAAAACATGCCTCCTGGCTACCGTTCTTCAGGAAGGTCCTGTGCTATATGAGCTGTCAAAATGCAGCAGTAAGGAGGGACAATGCCCTTCTGTGCCAGTCAGATCTGATTTGATGGTACACACATTAAAAAAAAAGAGGGAAAAAAATGTAGCAGTAAACTCAGAACAGGAAGGTAATGGGTTAAACGAAGAGAAGGCCTAACTCAAGACAGAGACAAAGGGGAAATAATACCACTAACGCTGGTGGTGTTACTCCCAACGTAATAACTGTGGTCTGGGGCAGGGTATGTGATGGCTCCAGAAAGACTAAACCCACAGACCGACTGACAGGTCTGAACAGATTATGAGGAGATTTAGATAAACTGGGGGAGAATCAAGACAGCAAGTCCACGGAAAAGGATAAGTATGGAGAGAATTCATAAAATAAGCATTAAGGAAGACCCTGGAGGAGATGAAGTAACTCAGTGACTGGGGTAATGTGGGTAGGTGTGTCAGAGATGATACGGTTGGCTCAGGACAGAGCACGGTTCAGAACAGTTGTACATGGTGTCGCTATGAATTGCGAGTGAGTTGGAACAGACTCATCGCTGGTTTTCAGAGGCAGTAAATTCCATGGGCGAAACTGCCCATCTTTCCCCCAAGGAGTGGCTGGTGGATTTGAACTGCATGCATTTCAGATTGCACTAGACCATCTACAATTTGACCACCTCTTACTAGATCACCAGAGCTCTATCAAAACGTCATAAAGAACAAAAAGTTGTGCAAGAAAGAAAAAGAAATCTTAGCAAACTAATGGCAAAGAATATTTACAGCCAATGTGCTCCATGGAGACAAAGATGGTGAAGCTTTATCTCTTGGGACATGTTGCTAGGAGAAGCTGTTCTTTAGAAAGGGATATCATGTTTGGAAAGATGGAAAGCCAATGAAGAACAGGAAGACCCCAATGAGACGGAATGACACAGATGCAAGGTCACCAAAGGAGAGGAAGCCCCCAATGAGATGGACTGACACAGATGGAAGGTCAACGAAGGAGGAAGACCCCAATGAGGTGGACTGACACAGACAGAAGGTCACCAAAGGAGAGGAAGACCCCAATGAGATGGACTGACACAGATGCAAGGTCAACGAAGGAGAGGAAG